GSYTTTYSTTTKSYTGTACTATAATCGGAAGAGTGTCTTTAACTGAAAGTGGAGAGCAGATGAAAAATTTAAGGCCTGGATAACAGATAATATAATAATTGTAAAGTAACTAACTAGCTAACTAACTAACTAATAATTGTAAAGTAACTAAGTAAGCTATCAGGATTATTAAGAATTACTGAAAAACAAGCTAGGGTTACAGAATATATAGTCTTACAGAATAGTATTACAATTAAATTTACTCCTGACAGAACCTATCAATTATTAGTACATTGATTCAAGGATACAGAATTTGCTATAATTTTTTGTAGAAGAATGGGCACTTCAACATAAGTTTCCCATCAGAGCCCAGACATCTCAAGGAACATGAGCAGGGCTCAACACCAATTAATGGTAGCCCACTAGCCACAGACTAGAAGAAATTCAGTTTTGCTTACTGCTTTTTAATTTCCACTTGCCAGTTTGGCTAGTAAACAAACTGAAGTTGTCCTAACTTCCAAAATCTCACCAGCCACTTGGCTAGTAAGTTGAAAAGTTAGTGTCAAGACCTGCTTGTGGCTCTTCAAGCCTTCAAAACCATCCTTATGGAGACTCGGATTTATTTTATTTCCTTGTCCTACTATCATCAAGAAACTGACAAAATTTTCCTTTTTTTTATTTTATATTTAGGTTGTAGAGAAAGTTATGAAGACAGCGAAAGCCTTTATGCCTGTGTTGTTGGATGCAAGTCACAACCTCTCATCCCTTCCCCAAAGACATACCTGGAGGTACATTGTTATAATTATAACAAACCAAGAAAAGTGGAATATTTTTGTGCAAGTTTTGATACGTTTTCACATTGGTTTACAAGGTGGCTTCTTGGAGTACACTGACTTTCTGAATGAACCTCCCTTCCATGTACAAGGAAACCTGCATGTGCCTAACTTATCTCAAAGTCATAGACTTCTGTTTTGAGTGTCAGTTTTAGAATAATGACCTTACCAGGGCAACATCATTGCTCTTTTTAACAATTTTGGCCTACATACTTTAAGATATTTACTTTCCTTTGGTGAAATGTCTTCATTCTTTGCCACATAATGGGAAGGATATTGCCTGACTTTTTGAAAACATGCTAAAAACTCGGGTTCTTCAGGTGGTTTTGCCAATATTCTTTCATTTGTTATTTTTGTAAAATACAAGTGTGGGCTAATTGATTGGAACTGTATTTGATCAGGACTGAGCTAATTAAAAAGAAAGAAGTTCCAAAGGAAAGGTGATTAGATTCTCCTCTTTCTCACTGTCAAAGTATTAGATCATAAAATAGCACTTTGCCAAGATCAAGATCTGAAAGCTTGCATAAACTTTCAAATCTGTCGCCCTCTTGCCATCTTTTCCCTGGTGTTTTCTCCTCTGTTGACATTTTTTTCAGGCAAAGATGGCCTCTAGATAATATGGGTAAGCATGCAGTTGCTCGAATTCGTGGTCTAAATTCTATAAAAACTGTAGTGATTTATACTATTTCAGTACACCTTTTTGGATAATAATTGCACAATCATGTCAATCTTCCTTCTGACATTAATTTTTTTAAATCTTGCACTGTATGTTTGCATTTCTAGCTGTAGATCTTGCACATTAAAAGAAAAAAAAAACCTCCTTTATGAGAAGTCAACATATTAACACTGAGTACAGCAAATGCCAAGGTTTATAATTATAATCTATTATTTTTCAGGAAAGAATTCCAGATCAGTGGAGTTTCAGGACATACATGGTGTATGTGTACCCAGTCTTGGACGTCAGCAAGTACTGCCGTGGGTTCATGAACAGAGTTGGTTATTACTATAGGATGTCTTCGTCCTATTATTACAGCTATGGAGATAGCAATGGTGTCAGCATTATTGAAATTAATGAACCATCACAGGAGTTTATCACGATTCAAAAGTTTGATGAAATAGACATTGTCGAGAATGATGATCCACAAGTAGGCAGCTACAGTGGTGAGTCACGTGCGAAGCCAGGGCTAGACACCAACTTTTCAACTGACTAGCCAAGTGGCTAGTGACATCTTTGATGTTATGACAATTTTGGTTTGTTTACTAGTATCCAAACTGGCTTGTGGAAAATTGTAAACCACTAGATGAAACTGAATTTCTAGTAGTTTGTGGCTAATTGGCCACCATTAGTGTCAAGCCCTGAAAGCCCAGTCGTGCAAAGAGTAGTTCATGTAATACTACCTTTAAGCCTTGAATTCCCAGGAGTTATTAATAGGTACATGTAATGTCTCCCTGAAATACCCTTACAGTATCTGGCAATGCATACAGGTTATAAGAATACTCAAATTTATCAAGTACCGTAGAAGTTGTCATCTCGATCTAACACAAAAGTCTCATTACTAATTGACAAGGAGATTGAAGAAAGGTACTCCTTGATGCAGGATAGTGTATTTTAAGTGAACAACAATAAGAGTCCTACGATACAAAATTAATAATAAGCAAACTATGCTAATAAAAGTAACAGCTTTACAGGCCAAGCATATGTAAACAAACATATAAGGATAACCACACAACACTACCATTAGTAGACTTACAGAAATGAGGTGGTAAGTTCACATCCTATTGTTGATGAAACATAAAAATTTAATAACAAAATGGCTGACACCACTCATGTTGGTCAGCAGTCTTAGTTAGTTCCCAGGCCCTGATGGCCAATGGGTTACACTAGGTGTGGAGGGGAGAATTATTAATCAGATCTTGGGAGTTAAAGGAGTAAAGGATTAAACTAGATATTTGATAAATTTGAATTCAATTTCCAACTAACTGAATTTTGCAATTATTCTAAAGAGTAACCTTACCAGATGAAAAAATTGTCTTCAATTGTAAAAAAGGTCAGCATTTGGCACCCCCATCTTGAACACTGCCTGGTAATGTAGTCTTGTACTCAAAACCCACATCATACATGTACAGCTCACAAAAAGTTTCTGCACTGGTGTTAACTAAAAAAAAAAGTTACCATTTGAACAACAAGTGTCTTTATGTGTAGCTCTCAATTTTTTTAAACATAGCAACAATAGGAAGGAGTTAGCTTTTTACACTAAAATGGAAGTAACTGAGTTGGCTTTTTTAGCAGATAATTTTCTGATAGTAGAATATAATGTGCAGTACCTATTGGACCTATTTAAAGGCTTAGATAAAAATTATATGATTTCTGGAGCTTGAAAGGCAGTTATTGTCACCATTATCCGAGTTTTCACCAGTAGTGTACATATAATATACACTGTGCATGTCTGTATAGGACCACATGGCTATTGGGTGGACTTACTTACTCACTCTCTTTCTATTATTTTTTAGATGACAATGATGATTCCTACTCTGGTACTGTTGTTAAGAGAGGACACCAGTGGCTTCAGTGTGTTTCGGAGCGTTCAGGCCTTCCCTTCTGGCTGTTAACATCTACTCTATTTTTGTCCATTTTCTTCTTAATATGGTTATGTTGTGCTACAGCAACTACCACTCCAAGAGAAAAGGGCAAGGTACTGTCTTCAGTGTCATGCACTGGTTTGTCATACAACTTGTACATTGTAGTAGTCAACTTTGAACAAGAATCTTAAGTGTTGCAATTAATGTGAGAAACAAGGCCCTTCTTCCAATCTTTATTTCTCTCTAAGGGTGAGGCTATTGTCCGCTAATATGGGATATTTTCTGCTGCTTTGCATTGTACAGTTTTCACATGATATCATGCTCAACATCATCCAGTTATTGCATAATTATTATTGTATGGCAAAGTACCTCTAGTCTTGAGGTGAATCTGATTGTTTTGACTGGTTCTTCCTTGATTCTTACAAATTTAACAAGTTCAATCTGATAGCAATATGATACATTATTACATGACTTGGGCAGTCAGAGGGCCAATAACTAAAATCAACCAATCAAAATGCTCCATTGCCAGTCCAATATTCTCTAAGTATTGGACCGGGCACTGTCCCGAATGGTCCTGAATGTTACCACACTTGTGTCCCTTTGAACTTCAGTCGTATGATAAATCTCTGATTAACCAAGCTTGCTCGGGACCGTACTGGAAAAATATCGGCCCTCGGTCTTTTCTGTACGGACCAAGCGCAGCGAGGTCTTTACTGTCAACACCTCAGGCCAATATTCTCCCAGTATGGCCCTCGCACTTGGTTAATAAGATATATGTACTTTTATAAAGTGGCTTGCTTAAGCCATACTGAGGAGGAGTGGCCCTCATTATTTGCTCAGTGCATACTTGTATGACTTTGGGCCAATATTCCCCAGTACAGCCCTGGTGCTTGGTGTCACCGAGTAAGAGCTTGTTATTCAGTAAACAATGTACATCACTTTTACAGCTCTTAATTTCCTTGTCGAGATCTAACAGCTACCTGTACAGTGGTTATTTTAAAGCAGTTCACAAAATTTTGTCTTATTTGTGATGTGTTTTTGACTTGAAACCAAATGGTTTATTTTTTTTTAGGCTGCTGTTGTTGGTGAGCTTATGTTCTTAGATGATGATAGTCTGTTGGAGAAAATGCCACTGGTTAAAACTGATGAGAATGAGGATGCTGGCCCACTCCCTGTCAAACTACACATAGATGCAACAGTGTTGTAATGGAAATTTGATCAGCAAGTGATATCCCTCTGTACAATGATATTGTGATCCATAGAGTGAAAAATAGCAAAAAATGGTCAAAGTTTACTACTATACAGAGAACGTGTAGTGGTCATCTTGCCTCAAGAAAAAGTGTCTGAATCAATTAATCCTTTATTCCTTTTAATCCTCTTTCATTACAGAACGTGATCATGTTTGCCAAAAAAAATTTGTTCCTGCACAAGTTTACTTTTGATGTACTCTTTCATAATTAAAATGGATTACCTGTATCAATGAATCACAAGAATTCAAAGAAAGGTGGCTTAGTTCCCAGCAACTTGCAACAGGATGTGTTTTTTTTTTTGTTTTTTTGTTTTTTTTGTTTTTTTTTTTCTTTGCACACGAATGGTACTTGTATCTGGAATATTTTCCATATTTAAATGTTCACGGACTTTGAATGAGAAAATTTCAGAAGCTACAGTGATTAGAATTTGGTATAAGAACGTTGTCTTTGAAACTCACTTAGATTTTAATGTCTAGAAAGGAGTGAATCTGTAGTTTTGGAATTAATCCAGTTTTTTTTTATTCTGTAAATGAATTCAACAATACAGCTGAGTTAATGCATGGTGGGAAGGGAGGTTTGAGTTGATAACTTTAATAACAGATTTGTTTACTGACAGTACATATTTTGAGCTTAAGAACATGCTCAGGATAATTCAAGGTTATTAGAGGTTACGTTCTTAGATAGTTCCTTTCTTGGACGAAGTCACATATCCAACAAATAACCCTAAGGTCAAGGGATAAAGATACCAGAAAATTTTCCTTGATAATAATTTGTACTTTGTCAATCTGATAACTCAATAGTTTGTACGCAGTAGAGTGTTGTAACTTTAAATGAAGATGTTTTTATTTAATTATTTCCGGTATATTTTAATTGAGATATGTATTATATCAATCAATAGCCCATTTCCAAATTATCCTTGGCGTCTTTTTCAAAACGAGGCCTGGTGCTTAACCGTTCTTGTTAAAGTGAGTTTAATTTGCATGTGAATGAAAACTTATAATCTTATGAAAGGATGAGCACCAGGACTCGTTTTGAAAATGAGGCCAAGAATAATTCGGAAATGGGCTATTTTTGTTTTTGGGGAGGGGAAGGGAGCGGCGTTGTAGTGATAAGTTACTTTAATTTGTATGAACTGAATTTTTGAAATGTAAAAATAATTAAATGGGTTCAAAAAACCCAACTGAAATACCAACGTTGCTTAGCATAGATTGATTTCTCTTAACATCTGGCATAACACTGCAGACATCTTATATGGTTTCCACAAACACAGGTACTTGAATCACAAATTGGAATTTCTTTGTGTCTCAGTCACACAGGGAAGTTGATGTGTTGTTTTATAGTTTGGTTTTGTTTTTAGGTCGTGATGTTGATCTTGTTACAGCTTCAGAGAAAAGCTCTCTTGTGGTCTGCTTCCTCTTATTGGCTTGTCTATTTGATGACTGGTTATGATGAATATATGAAGTTCATATATTTCGAACAGCGGTTATAGATACGTACGATGCGCGATCCTCGCAGTGGAGAGCGCTATTTATGTACGGGATTCGAACCACTGACCTGTGCGATACTAGTGCAGCGCTCTACCAATTGAGCTAACAACTGGGAGCAGGCCGTTAAGTTGATTCGTAATAAACCCGTGATGATAAATCAGATATGATGACTAATATCAAGTTCATATATTTTGAACTGCGGTTATAGTTTCAGATGACTGTTTGTTTCTCTTTCACACCATTTGGCTCCACAATGAATCTGCTCAACTAATGGATTCCGTGTTTCAGTGCGTTTGTTTAGTGAAAGATTACCTGTGACATCAAAATGTAGAAAGAACAAGAACGTAGCACATACGGCCAAGCCTAGTGTGTCTGGTGTGTAGCTGTTCTGTGATATGATAATGAACAGACCCACAACAACATGGAATCTATTTGTTTTGAATATTAAGAAGAAAAATTTAGAGTTATCTATTTTTCTGCACACTAATAGATCATAAGTAATGAGCCAATCAAAATAGAGGTGCTCAATTCAGCTTGTTATGAATTGCAGAAACATGGAATGACGGAGTGATTTTTAGAGGTGACAGTCAATCGCTCTCCTGTGTTTTGGGGAGGGGATTGATTCAGAGGACGCTCTCTTAGTTTACAAAATGTGCAAACAAATGTTTCATGACGAGTAAGTTATATAATACCTCAAGTTTAGTAGTACCAGTAATATGCAAACCTATCGTTAACAGAAGTTTTGTTTCAATCAAATACTAAAATAATGGCTCATGGCTCATCGGTCTGATGAGGGAGGAAGGGGAGTTGGTGGTGTGACCCCTCCGGATCCTCCTCCTGAACCTACCACTGTTCCTACATAAACAGTCTCCTCTATAGCCATTTGTTTCGTCTCGTATAGGAGACTGATATGCATATAAACTCACCAACATTACTTTCAGTAGTGAAATTAACATACAATTCAACATTGTCCGTAGAAGAGCTCACGAGAGTCGTTTGAAGGGCTTTACAGATTGTCTCTGCACGCCTTATTCTTGTCCTTCACAATTAATGCTTTCTTTCCTTAAGAAAAAGGTTAACCAGTTTCCTATTTCCTTCTTCCTCTCAGCTTTACAGAAGTAACGCTAACCTTAGTTTTAGTAAGTGCTATTGCTTGTTTACCAGAGGATCTCACATCTCTTCCTTCATTTTTATTATACATGCAAAGCGCATAAGAATATTTTTATAACTTATGCGCTATATAAGTTTAATATTTATTATTATTTTAAACCATCGATAGAGGGCTGGACTGTTGTGCGGGAGGTCGATGGTTCGAGCCCCGGCCGGACCAACACTAAAGGTCTTAAAATAATTGAGAAGAATATGCTACCTTTCTATAACATCAAGAAAGGGTTAGATGTTCTAGTCTTCTCGGCTAGGGACGAATAAATGGAGGTCCCGTCTCCTGCAGGGTTAGGGATAGGAGACGTTAATTTCCCACGTACGAGATTATTGTACGTGTGATGGATGTCCTCCCCTGGGGTGGGATGGGTTGGGATTATTTAGAGGGCCCCAGGATCACCATTTTAATTACTGTCACGTGCTACCCTCTTGAAATAAAGTCTATTATATTATTTCTTTTTTATTTCTTTCTTTCTATTATCTCTCTTTTCCCTGAAAAGCAGTACTTTTATTTTCATTTATTTTCATTCTAATAAGAAGTTAGTTCAGTTCGTTTAGATTAGGATTTTAATCTTTGTATATATTTTATAATGATTATAAAGTTTTAAGTTCTACATTTGTAGGTATATCGCTTGTATACGATTGAGTGGGATTTACCGTGTATAAATAAAGTGATCTATCTCTATCTATCTTCTTAAATTGAGCATATTATTTTGCTTTTCATGAAATAGAGAACGAAACACATGGAATAATGGGGTCTTTGTGACAGGAACCTAGTCAACCACGCCCTGATTCTGTTTACCGAGCGAAACCACAAAAATCTCTATGTCATTCGACATAAACACGCTATTGAACCAAAATAGAAGATCGAGTAGCATTGCCTACGTTTACAGGCGATGACGACAAATTTAAACAAGAAGTGGATTGGATTGTGGGAAACAGAAATGCTCTTCGAGTCACACCAAATAACTCACTAAGGTTTAATCCTATTAAGAACTCGACAATTTCTTCTCTCGCAAAGAGCAGCACAAAAACGTCTCGATGCATTCTTTTCACGAAGCCTGTCATCGGAACCGAGGCTCTCATGATTTTCAAAACGAGGTTTTCACACAACACTCAAATAATGCAGTGAGGTCTAGAGCGTATGTTCTAAAGGAAGTTGCACTTAGGCTATGAATGACTCATGACAAGGTCTTTCTCGACCCTGATTTTATTCCAGCCTAGTTACCATTTAAGTTAAAGTCCGCCGGTACATTCTTATTGTGGATTGCTGCGTTCACATCTCCTTCATTGTCCCGTATCCGCTTTACTTTCTGTTAATTTAGCATCTCACAAAACATGTGTTTTCCCCAGTTTTGGTTGAATTTTGTATTCACCTCTCACTTAGTGTTTGTTATTTTCACATAAGATTTGACTTTTAATAAATATTTGGCGCACTTTTTGTCCTCTTGTTACTGTTTGTTGCGTCAATATATTGCGCTCTGATTCATACTTTTTCTGTTTGATTTTAACGTTAGTGTCTCGCGCAATAGGTGTTCCGTTTTTTGTAGGTTTGACAACTATTAAAGTGGGTAGTGCACTATTTGGTTTCTTCTCTGTTTGATTTAAACTTCTTATCTCGCGCATTTTTTTATTCATTCTCTGTATGATTAAAGGCTGATAGTTTCTAAAGAAACTGTTTAGGGCTGCGTCGGTGGGGGTAACGAAATAATTTGGATATATCAACAAAGTTGAAATGGTAAATTGGCCATCATAACGATTACAAAAGCTAAGATTTGACTTTTAATTAGCTATTGTAATCGTTACGGTGGCCAATTTACCATTTCAACTTTGTTGATAAATCCAAATTACTCTGGTATGATTGTTGCGTTACAATCGTGCGCTCTCTTTCTTCCATTCTCTGTTTGATTATTTTGATTATTGAGTTATTTAGTCGCGCACTGTTTATTACGTTAGTATTTCTTCCAATTTCTTCGCATTCTCTCTTTTACTATTATGTTGCTTCCCATTCCAAGCAGTTTTGTCTTCGATCTGTTTGAGCATCACGCTTCAATTCCATGCACCTTTTTCTCAACTGTTCGCCACACTATTACTACCGCGCGCGCAATGTTTTTTTTTTTTTCTTTGAACTATCATCTTACTTAGCGGTGCAAACAGCTTTATCACCCCTTGATTTTGCTAAAAAAAAAGAACTAAAAACTGGATCATAATAGTTTAGATTAAAGATTGATTTTGGATTTTTCATCTGTGATTGGGACTTGAACTAAACTACAACTAATTTTTAAGTTCAATTACCCCATCCTTATTCATTTTAGTCCCCTAACGGCTGAACTGCGGCTTTCAGTAGTGTCACTCGCTTTCAATTCTGCTAGAGTTACATAAGCATGTGAAAACAGTTACTTGACCCTGAAAAAAGGAAAAACGGTTATGCAAAGAAATACCAGTGTTCATTTAAAGACGATGTCTTGGAAAGATACCATTTGTGTAGTTGTTAGTCTGTTTCTGCCCTCCCTCATAGTTGTCCTTTTTGAGTTCTTAATTCCTAAAACAAACATAACACATTTGTCACTATAACAACTTTTGAAGCATACAGTTCAAATTTTCTACAAAAAACTTTTTGCAGTATGAAAACTTGATTTATGGAATTATTTAGTAAATAAGCCTCTTCTGGCAGCTGCTGTGTCGGCTGATAATGTCCGCGGCTGAGATAATGTTCGAAAAATGAATGTTTGGCCGAGAAGCGAGGCTTCGAGGGCAAAAGTGATATTTTGAGGATAATCCCTCAGCCAAGGACGTTATCAGCCAACTTGACAGCAATCCAGGAAGGGTTTTATTTATTTTACAACCCTCCCATTAATTTTTCGTATCTCGCTTTGACAGCTCTTTTATTTTGAATATAAAACTCAGGGCCTAGATGTTCGAAACCCGATTATTGCTTATTACCCAGGGTTAAATTTTAATCCAGGTTTCTTTATTTCTCTGCTCGAAAGCCGTTTTGGGATAATTTCCCCTATCGTTTTTGGAGCATTCATTCACCAAATTGTAGACATAAAGATTAAACTGAATTCTATGTTCAAGCTTTCAGATATGATATAAAATTTCACACTAACCCGGATCATCTTAACTCAGCTTTAAACAACCCAGCCCAGGACCAATTTAAGAAATGATTTATCAAAATCGGCTCCGTGTAAAGGATAAGATAATTTACTTTTTCTTCAAATTTTATTTATTATGAAGAAACAGAAAAAAACAGACAGAGAAGCTAACATTGTCCACAACGTAGTCACCTGAACAAGCATAGGTATAGCTAATGTTACATATGAAAATCGTTCATTAGAACTAGACTTACCCTATTTTCGTAAAATCAAATGTCACGTTATCTCCCATAAGCACAAATGGAGCCCACTGTTTTTGTTTGGAAAAGCCATTGCTTCTCAACCATGTTACGGCCCGGTGAAGAGATTCACTGGCACTTTCTCCACGAACAAGGTGTTGGTAAAAATGTTTCATGAGCTTTGCTGATACTTCTTCCTCTGTGGCCCACGATAGTACCAACACTGAACGTGCGCTGGAAGCTAAGAATGCTCGAGCAATTCCAAGGATTCCTTCCTTTTTAACCAATCCACGCCCACTGTGACAACTGTTGAGTACTACCAGTTTAGCTCGCAGTTGTACTCCTAAAATATCGGTTGCTGTCAGGAGGTAGTCTTCTTCTTGTGGAATACTGTCATAATTGGTGGAAAGGGCAATCTCTCCTCTTTCGGCATATCCATGTGCGGCAATATGAATCAAACTAACTGAAGGTATTGCTTGAAGTGCCGCCTGCTTTGTTGCGCTTTTTCCTAACAAAGGTTGAACGCCCAGCACTTGACCAACCATCTCTCCTTCCTTATATGCGTAAAACAATGGTGTTATGTCCTGTGGTCGTCCTTTGTAATACACTTTGCCAACCGTGGGATCACCCAATACCAGTGCACCAGTTCTACTGTGATAATCCACTGGACATTCCTGAATGAGACGAAGAGTCGTCAGGGAAGGGACGATGCGGATTTTGTAATTCTCTGATAAATACTTTCCGTCTGGTTGATCACGCAACGCAGCAAATGGGACTCGGTACAAGAAACCATCCGGCACAATGACAATTTCAGGCTCTGTAAGTAAGTCTTCCACAGGAGCGATGATCAACTTGTAATACAAATGAAGAATTGGGACAGTAACTTAGTTTTGTTCACCTCGTAAATTTGCTCGTCTTTCTTCATGAACAGATGTCATGGCGGTGTCATCCAAACCTGGATCTTCGCAATTTTCTGTGGGCAAAACGCCAAAGCCGAGGCCGCTCTTTTTAAAAATCCCTTCCACATCACAAACTATCTCAGCATGTAGCGTGTTGACGCTCACTTTGTCTGTTGTGCGAAAGAAGGTGTCTCCATTTCCTTTTAAAACCCAGAGAAAAACTTCATGCTCATAATACGAAATGTACAAAATATCACAGTTAGTTTCTTTTTTCGCAATGTTTTCAATCCCAAACCATGATTTTAAATCTGCTGAGATGTGGGTTTTAGCTGAGAACTTGTCTGCCATGGATTCTGAGAGAACTCTTGCTCTCCCCAACTCCTCAGCGTAAAGAGCATCGCAAAATTTTCCATCATTACAAAGCAACTAAGTTAACAACTTGTAGGGATGAGTACTGTGTTCCTCTAACAAAGGTATTCGAAGTTCTTTGTCTTCTTTCAGTAAAATTCTTATTTCTTCATATTTTTCAATACACTGAAGAAGATCTTGTTTTGCGTCCACAAGCTTTGATTGCGATGCCTTTAACTTTGAGATACAGAGAAGGGTTTGAAACTCAATCATTTTGTCTCCAATTTTGCTGCTTATGGAGAGAGCTTTGTCAAAGTACCCTTCTGCCTTGTCACTTTCACCAAGAGAGAAGAATATATTTCCAAGGCTTCGGTAAATTTCTGCTTCGCTAGCTCTATTGCCACGTTCCTTGATGATGGCAAGTGCCTTCTCACAACATTCTTTTGCCTTCTGTGTTTGATTAAGAGAAGCAAAAGTAGCAGCTAAACCTGCGAGACTGTTTGCTTCTACTACTCTATTACGAGTATTTTTGCTCACGTCGAGTGCTTTGTCGAAATCTTCTTTAGCTTGACAGCACTTGCCTAGGTTGAGATGAACAGCTCCTAGGCTAAAGTATCTTGGACCCGTTTTTCCGTCTCCAAGCTTTTCTGCGATGATCAATGCTTTCTCGTAATATTCCTTAGCCTTCCAATAATCGCCAAGGGATTGAAACACAGTTCCGAGGTTCCCGTAACTGGCTTCTTCCCCTTCCCTCTCGCCAATTTCTACTGCGACGCTAAGTGCTTTCTCGTGATATTCTTTAGCTTTTTAATATTCGTTTAGGGATTGAAACACAACTCCAAGGTTCCCGTTACTTGTTCCTTCTCCTTGTCTGTCGCCAATTTCTAAAGCGATGTCAAGTGCTTTCTCGTGATATTCTTTAGCTTTTTGATATTCGTTTAGGGATTGAAACACAACTCCAAGGTTCCCGTTACTTGTTCCTTCTCCTTGTCTGTCGCCAATTGCTATCGCGATGTCAAGTGCATTCTCGTGGTGCTCTTTTGCCTTCTTTTTTTCAAGAAAGTTATTACAAACAATTCCAAGTCTCCATTGAGCCACTGCTTCTTCTCTTCTGCGGCCAGTCGTTTCCGTGATGGCGAGTGCACTTTCAAAAATTTGCTTTGCCTCTAGAAACCGACTTTGTGCTTGATATTTGTCTCCTTCCTTTATGGTTAGTATTCCAGTAAACTGGGGCTCCATTTTATCTGACAGTTTATCTCCACTTACTTGATGTAGCATTCCGCTTATTTATCTCTTCTTTACTCTTCTTTGCCCGAAAGAAAAAGACAGACTTTCCTCAGAAATAAAAACTTGAGATACAAATCGCTGAACATGCTTAGTGTCAAAATGCAAATTTGCCATGGTTACCGGATAATCGCTTGCTACCAGACGCTATTAATAAGATGCATGACGAAATGACCGCGAAATATTGAAAATTAAAAAGTAAGCTTTCGGAAGGAAACGAACGAACAAATTTCTTGTATTTTCGAGACCCGGGTGATAGATTCACCACGTTGGAACCCGTTGTTTACATGATTTCACTTCCATAAAATCACGTAGCGTGGATTGAAAATTCTGAAAGTTGAGTATTTAAGGCTAAATCTACGATGAACGATATCATTTGAACATATCAATACTTAAAACACTGTTTACTGGTCCAAAAAAATATCTCAAATGTCGCAAAGCCTCCGTTGAAGTCAGAAAATTCTCTTTTCATCCTCCAGCCAACGTCGTTATCGGTTTTGAAAGTCGCATTTCTATTTCATTACTCCAAAGTTAATTCCGTCGCTCAAAGTCTTAAAATTTCGATAACTTTCCGAATTGATTTTTCTCCAGCATATTCACTTTTACTTGAGCTGTAAATGGTCTACCTTGATCAGAATGGAATGGAAGACGAAAGGAAACATTTCAACAAATAGTTACGGACCTCCGTCTGTACGAACTTACTGAACGGTTTTGTTTTGCCACGCATTGTAAGTAAAAAGTTTTCGCTAAAAAAATCCCACATTTCGATATGCCTACCGTCATTCTCACATTTCCTCACAGATTAATGATCTCCTCGGCTCATCACGGAAAGAAAAAGGGTTTGCAAACACACAACTTTAAAATAATTTGCGAAGCTACTTTGGTTTTGCATCTCACACTACAACAACGAAGATCGAGGCTGCGCGCAACAACTTGCTCCTTGAGAGACCTGGTACGGGGTTGGAAAATCCCAGCATTCATTTCGACTAAATATTAGCAACGTCGTGTATTTCACACAATTTTGAAGGAAAACATCTCAGAGGCCGTGAAAATGACTGTTAAATTTGAAGATTGTTTGAGAGTATTATTCCACTTGCTGCGGCTGGTCAACGCGCGGCCGTCGCTTAGGTTCCCATACGGTACATCTAAATGTTCATACATGCGGGGTGGCGGCATCTTGGAACGATGCCACGAGGCCACCGAGTTAAAATCCTCTCGATATAGTTCAGGATTTCTCAATTTTTGATCTTAATATTATGTTACACCATAACATTTAGTGCGAAAATTCTCGAAGCCTTCTTGAAGGATTTTGGATTAAAGTTTTGGTTTTGCATGGTTAGTCACCGTTCGCAACAACACCACCGACCATGTCAATTTTACGAAATTAGGTCACGAGAACGCGCAAAATATGCATAAAAGACAACTGGTTATTTAACTTTGTTTTCCAGACGAACTAGTTTAAAATGTCATTCTTTTATAATTCATGTGCAAACATCTTCAAATGTTTTGTTTTGTAAATTATCACGTCACTCTTATTCATGGAAAATGAAACTAATGAAGGAAAAGATCGCTGATCATCTCTGGATAGTTAGGAAACCAAAAGCAAGAAATTCATACAAGATTTTATCAAAATTGTATTAAGTGTTTACCTTCTCAGACACAAGGGAGTCTTGTTTAGTATTCTGATTGTATGACTGATGAAACCAAAAGCAAGAAACCAGAACTAAACTTCCCTGCAAAACAAAGATAAATGCAAATAGCAATTGTGAGAAAGACGTGGCCACTTGATGGGTGGCAAAAAGACATTTTATTGAGCCATAGAGACCTTAATGGACAGCAAGCCGAAAGATTATTTTGTTTGGCTAAAATTTCATGGAGCAAACCTAAAATCGATCGCACTCTATCTTCCCCATAATTAAGATGCACAAAATTAACATGTCACACAAACAGATTTTCTCGCCTCGAATTCCAATGAAATTTAGGAACAGTCATGTGATTCAGGGTATATGTGCCGCGCTCTACCACCGATACCGATACTGAAAAATCTAAGGCTACTAAAGATAGCGAGGGGAACAAAACTAGACGGGACCAAACAGACATTTCATGAGAAAAAGAATGGCGGCTGCTGATCGATATACTGAGCGTTTTCGTCCAAAAAAGTTTCAATTTCGAACGGCCACATTTATCCATTCCTTACATAGGGGGTGCAGCGACAACTCAGTCTTTCTGAATCTGAACATAGATTTAATTTGCCGAAGATACCCGTCAGGCTGACCCCTCAAATGAAACGCTATGTGGTCATTGAAATTGTTTTCGCTCTTTAGGTTTTTTTTTAGGTACAGATTAAGCATGTCTATTGTATTAAATTGACACATGCGTTTTGATTGTTCATCTAGTCTCTAGATAGGTGTTAGTGATACAAATTTGATACAACAGAAAGACTGAGTTAATTTTCCTCTAAATTTCACTACACGTGAGATTTTCTCCCATTGTAATATAGTTAAACGCTACGACACAAAAGAAAGGCATGCATAACTGCGTCCTTCCCCAAAAATTCAATCAATTTAGCAAGGGTTTATTTGACAGGAGATCTAGTTTTAAAGGCGTTCAAACATCTATTGTAAAGTTATTAACGTAACACATAAATAATTAAAAAATTCACACACCACGAGTCTCAATTTGAACGTTTCGTTGCTTTGCAAAATGAAACAGCCAACTCAGTTAGAATTAGACTCAGCAGTGTATGTCTATTTCGGTTATATTACGATCGGCGAATGCTTCGTTTAGTAAATAGGCGTTGCCTTTTGATGACATATTTATTTTAATTGCAAGACTTGTGATTGACATTAATTCCGTCGAGTGATATAAAAGTGTTAGGTTATTATGTGCTAAACCATTTTTTTAGAATAATCGACAAGAGAGAAGCCAGTTTCTGGTCTGTTCAAAAATCCGCTAACCTGAATCTGCTAACCTATTGAGCGAGACTGTTTTAACGACCCGCCACAGAAATAATTTTCCAATCAAGCTTTTTAAATTTTGTTAGAGGCTAAGAATTTATTGACTCTTTTCTGATTTCGAATTTTAAATGTATGATTAGATCGAAAAATTAATAAAGCTTGGATTAATATTATATGGTTTGCGGTGGTCGTCTGAGCTGACCAGTTCCGAGTAAGGAAACAGCAAATCTCAGCTTACCTCTGAGGCACCGAAATGGGGATTTCCCTCACCCCCCCCCCAGTAACTGCAGGACTCGGATACATTTTGCTTACTTGCCTTGGCTGAAGCCAGGGGGGCGGAAGAACTCGATCATAGTCAGAGTTTGCCGTGTACTTCTTGAAACTTTCAGCTTATTTACAGAGTCTTACAACGACCCTAAAAAGGGACTTAATCCATAATACACCATTAACTTATTGAAGGAGACAGCCACGGAGTTGTATTACTGAAGGGGATACCTTCTTTTGGATTCTTCTGTCGAGGCACATAGTTTCCTTAGTAGAGGGAAACACAAGGAAATTTATTTTACAGAGAAGACAAACATTACGGTCAGCCCTTTAGAATCATATACAAAGCTTGCTACCGTTTCTTTTTCATAATGTAAGATCTTAACCTTTTGTAAATGAAATAGAAACAAAACCAAAGATTATTAAATGCCGTGACACCCGCATTAAGAAAGAAAAGCTAAAAAAAAAAAAGACGAAACAGAAAAAAACATGTAATTTTTTTTTTTATAATTTCAACAGAGGAATACTCTCCAAGTTTACAGAGGATACCATTTTCAATGTGTCAATAGTTTTCAAGCCTTTTTTACCAATCCTCAATTTGTGAAATGATTTTATCTATATGCGTCTAGCCTGAGATGCTTGGAGCTGAGCGGATTTAGACTTGCAGCTTTCCTTTGTCCACTATCGGACTAAAGATGATTAGAATTTTATGGCGTAACATGCAGTAAATGGAGAGAACTTGAATTGAACTTGAATGGAACTTGAATTTCCTTCCTGTTCGGGATGTTAATAGTATACAATGGTGGATATATTTTACAGGTGTCATGCAATCGCGTGATCGAGGAGGAGGAAGAGAGCTGTCTTGCGCGTCAAAAGGAAACACATCAATGTGAAATGCGGGTTTGATCATGATAAGTAATGAAACTCGCTATCAAATCAAGTGTAGGCGGAAAAGGGGCGACAAATACGTTTTTCTGGAAACGAAGCTTAATACCTTTTTGCATGCGACTAATGAAACAAAGAAGTTTTGTCCCATTCATAAAGCTACGACTACTAAAAGAAATTTCCGAGCTGTATAAATGATTGTTGAACTCTCGGCTTATGCAGACATCTGTTCATTATTGGGTTTCAGTTTATTTTTCAGTGATCCCTGAACATAAAAAAATTGGCTCCAGTGGAAGCGGAACAATTATCCCGTCATCAGTTATAAATTAAGACAATTAAAACGCCTGTTCCTTGATATTAATGTTCTTACTATCATCTCAGGCTTCCAAATTTTATGAGCTATAGATTAAACACTTATAAATTCCATATTAGACATCATTCCCGTTTATCTAGTCGGGTTTAATAGGCTGCACTTTGTATATTCAATATTCATGCGAAGTCAAAACGATCGTCATATACCTCGTTTTAGATTACTCCCCCAGCGGCTTTACCCTCCAAACCTAAAAAGTAGCTTTCTCAACGAGTTTTTTAACAATGTAAACTGGCGACTAAGAAGTAAATAGACTGTAAAATGAGCTTCAACTGCCTTGAGTCTGAATTATACGTGATCGATCACATGAAGCAAATTTGATTAAGAAATGTAAAGCTTATTTTATTTTCAAAACTATCCTAACAAAACATTAGCAGTTAGACAGTAACGATAACAGTGAAGATAAAGAAAGGACATATTGCCAACGGAAAAAGGGGGAGGGAGGGGAGGAATGAAAAACAATATTCACTACTATAAGT